ATAATATTTTAATGATTTATATAATGACCTTTGAATATTATATATATATATATATATATATATATATATATATATATATATATATATATATATATATATATATATTTATATATATATAGTAAATACTGTATTAATTGCAAATCTTATATTAAATGCCTTTCAAAGTAATGAACGAGATTTTGTGAGGAAGGATAACATTTCACCATTTAATGCTAGCAGTATTTGCTGAGCAGACAGCCCTTATAATTTTTTCAATTCGCTTTATTTATGAGTTCTTATCTGTAAAAATGTTGTAATTTTTATTAATTACTTTTTATTGTTTTTTTAATCAAATACTAATAATAACTAATATTTTGTAAATAATTATTAATAACTACATTATATACACAACATTACTCAGTTATAAAGATTATATTTATTTATAACTTTAGTTTAAATTTTTGATAGAACTATGTTATCTTTACACATTGCATATTATTTTAAAAGACCTTATTTAAATATGCTTGTTATGTCTGATAATTAAAGAAGTAAAATTATAAGGCTTCGTTGAAATTAAAGAAACCAGGCGATGCAAAATGAATTTAACCATCGCCAAAACGAAAGAGATGAGCTTAAGCTAGCTGAGATAAACTGTCGTTGAAATGAAAGAGATGAGCATAGGTAAGCTGAAAAAAACTGCCATAGAAATAAAAGATATCAGGATAGGTGTTATAATTCCTTTTTATCTTTTTTATCTTTTTTTATCACTTTTTTTTTTTAAGAAAATTTGTAACTCTTGACCATATAATTTATCACTTTATATCTTTGACCACATGATAAGGTTTTCTCAAATCTTTATTATCTCTATTATGTCTGTTGAATCAGTTATAAGATAATAAATTTAATTTTAGACAACTTCATGTAGTCATAAATTCTGTGTCATAAATGTGTAAATACCTGTAATATATAAAGTGCTTCAATGTGAGTTACGTATAAATGGTTATTTTGTTTCCATGGCTTTAAAGTGTTGTGACTGTAGTATTATTTTTGTATTTTTATATATATAGCTCTAGCTGCTTCTTCTGGCTCAATAAGTGTTGTTGTACTCATACTTGACTAAGTACATTAATTGATTGCTTTTACAAGTACAATATTATTTTATAATACTGTAGCCATATTTTAAAAAGCCTCAAGGTAAAAAAATCAAATTTGACTTTTATACAAAGTAAGCTATTTTAGATGCTTGCAAACGTTATTGAATAAATATTTTCAAAGAAATATTAATTCATATTCATATTCATAATTATTCAAATTATAAAATCATAAATATCAAATCATAAATATTCAAATTCATAAAAATTTTTAGTTTCAAAAAATTTTTTACAAAGAGGTTCCTCTAATAATTATTTTTTAATTGCTTTTTTCCTGAATAATTTAATAAGCATCTTAACGCTGTACAAATATTTCGTTTAATTCAATCAATCAATGTAATAAGTCAAGTTTAAGTAAATACAATAATTTTTTATTTAAATAAGACACTTTTATTAACAATGACCAATGACAATAAAAAAGGTCATGGTCAAATATTTGATAAAACTGCTATTAATTTCAAAAAACCTTGGTTTTCATACAACCAATTCTATGCAGCATGTTCTAAAACCAAGTCTTTTGCATTACACGTGCATAACAAGTCATTTGCATAACATTTGCATATACTCATGCATAAACAAGGTATGTCACTGAATGAAAATTTCATAAATGTTATACTTGTATATGTTCTTAATATATAGTTTTTGACAAGTTTTTTATGTGTCATATGATGTGGTTATGTGTGTTTTTATTATGTGTTACATAAGACTATATGGGTTTATATTTTGTTAGTGTTTCTATGTATGTGCTGTTAGTAGTTAAAATATGAACAATAAACTCTGAATAACTCAATAACCCTTAACTTGAACTAATTTTAAAATTTAATTTGAGCCTTTATTTATGGATTATACTGCCAATAACTCTTGCATTCTCTAACAAGCTAATTTCTTGGTCCCCTTTAAGGTTTGAGTAATTTAAAGTTTACTGTAATATGTTATGTTATTTGTTAATTTTGTGATGCTGTTGCTGTTTTGTTTTGTGTTGATAGATTAGATGACATGGTTTACTTTCACGTCAGGGTCTTTAAATTAAAATGATTATTTGGTAGTTTCATTATTGAAACTGACTACATATAATCATTCACTAAAAGCTAAAGATTCAGTTTTCAAATAAAAAAAAAGGTATATCTTATTGTGATCATTTAATTTTAGCCTCGCTTTTTTAAAAAAAGTTGTTAATTCAAACTTACAACAATGAATCTTGAACCTTTCACAAAAGATAAAAAACCTCACAAAAAAAGTTTCTTATTAATTATCTGTTTAGTCACATTTTTGAGTATTCAAATGAATAAATAGAGTAAATAACAAATCAATGTTTATAAAGTATATTCAATAAAAATTTTGTTCCATTTTTAGGCCGAATTCCGTCTCCTACGACTGATTTTGAAAGTTCCTACATAGCAGAATTTAAGAAATGTTCCGAATATTGATTGTATTCAAAAAGTTGAAACGAAGCTTGATAATCTTCATACCATTCACTAAAAGATATATAATAATGAAAGAATGTTTCAAATAAATTTTTTTTATAAGTATTTTTGATACTTTTATGATGAATATAAATTTTTTTATTCATCATAAAAGTTTATTTTATCTCAAGAAAATTTTTTTATTTGTTTCTCAAATAAATTTCTATATTTTTTATCTTTGGAATTATAATATGAATACGCTAATTTAATATTAGTCGAGTTACGTCATTTTCTAGGCTTTTCTATTTTAAAGTAGTTTCTAGGCTTTTCTATACGCAGTTTTTTTTTAAATTTTATTTACTAACAACGCGTATTACGGGTTGCTTACTGCTAGTTGGAATTATTGTTTCAAATGGATATACTGGCTATTTTTGCTTGGTTTTTTATATTTCCGTTATCTTTTTATATGTGAATGGAAACCATTTATAATTTTATCACCTTTTATACAATCAAGAAGGTTTCTATTTGCATTCATTATCAATTGCTCAAACAACTGGTTTAAAAATTTATTTGCATTACTCTGCAGTAAAAACAGCTTAATTGTATGAATTTGCTAAGAGTTTTTCTACAGAAAAGCTTCTATAAAAAATATCAAACAGATAAAGCTAACTTATTTGAAATAGCTAGGTCTCTTGGGCCCATTTTTAAATGTCCAAATGTGATTTTTAAGTAAATCTTTATGCAAAAGTTAAAAGTTTCCATAAACACCTAAAGAAATGTTACGCAGCTATTTTATATGCTAAAGATACTTTTATTATGTAGAAAATATTGAAGTAAATAAGTAACAATGTAAAAAGTAAAAATACTAAATAGTTCGAAAGTATAGTAAATTAAAAATTAACCAGAAGGCAAGATTTTTAGGTAGTCAGTAAAATGCAAACTGCGTACTTTTTAGCAAACTAAGACAACTTAATGACCACAACAGTAATGATATTTTAAACATTAGCTCATCAATTTTTTAAATTGAATTTAAGGGTATTTGATATACTTCATTTAAATTGGACTGTATTCTTTTAAACTAATTATAATTCAACAAGCAATAGATTTATGGTTTGCATTAAAGTTTGTATTTTATCAATTACCAGAACTTTAAAATGATTTATTTTTTGCCGTTTACTAAAATAAATTAAAGAGTAAATAATGTGCAATGTTTTATATTTTTTGATTAATCCCAATAATTTATTAATGGCATTCACAGACTTTGTTTTAGTTTTAGTTGGTAGTTAGATACCAATTATAACTAACACATAAATTTATACAACAAAACCAAAACATAAATTTATACTTATAAAAGAAGATCTCATGTCTTATGTCTTAAAGTGAGTATATTATACAATGGTTTTTTTAGTAAGTATATAATACATCGGTTCAATTTAAACCTGTTAAGTATTATATATATTTAAGATTATATTGTCATATGAAAAAAACATCTTAATTTGAATCATTATACTAAATCCCAAGATAAACATGTATATATATATATATATTTTTATTTTAATTCACCTCCTCAAGGCCGAGAAGACCACTACAGACAAGGAGGCTACTTATTTGTGGCTATAACCCTCTCTCTCCTCTATAACTCTGAAACACGAACCTTGACAAACAAGGCCGCTGCGCAGAGAAACGAGTTGAGCGTGGTACTACCAAGGATGTGGTGGGGATCGAACTCGGAACCACTCGTTTATGAAGCGAGCGCTCTACCACTACACCACTACCGCATAAATAAACTGTAAAACAAGATGTATGTTAAATTTGTATATATTCCACGCTCCAAGTTTGCATAAAAGATGTTCACATGACACTTTTTTAATTACTCCAAAGACAATCCAATCCCAATATAATCCCAAGATATATATATATATATATATATATATATATATATATATATATATATATATATATATATATATATATATATATATATATATATATATATATATATATATGTATATATATATATATATATATATATATATATATATATATATATATATATATATATATATATATATATATATATATATATATATATATTTGAAAATGTGAAATTTGATATTGAATATTTCTTGAACTCTTACTTAGTAAGAGTTCAAGAAATTTTTTTCACTGAAAGTTTTAATTATCAATACCAATCAGATAATGTCTAAATAGTTGTCTAAATTACAAAAAATATTTATAAAAAATTGTCTGATATCTTTTAACTGGTTTTAAGATTTACATTACCAACTGTAATTATTTGTTACGATTAATTATTATTGTTTAAATTGATATAAGTGTCAATACCAATCAGATATTAAAAGTTGTCTAAATTACAAAAACATAAAAGCTTTTAACTATGCACAAAAAATAAAATAAATATGCAAAATCATCATTAAAATTTAAAAATATTAAAAAAAACAAACTTTACTTGAATAATATCTTTAAACTGTTGATTAGATTTACAGCAGGATGAGTTGGATTGTAAGTAAATGTATTTAATAAAGATTTATTTGTGTCATACAATATTAAATACTGACAAACACGTTGCATTGTAGGCTTTTTATGTTCTTCCTTGTCATACCAAACCATTTTAGATGATGATGATTTCACCTCTAGATGATGTTATAAAAGTTTAAGTTGTTCATCTTTTAAATTTAATTATAAATAGTAAATTTGTAATTGTAATATAAGAAAAATAATAAAAGCACATTTTTTAAACATAAAAATCAATGTAATAATTTACTAAAATTATTTAATGAATATATTTTAATTTCAATTGAAATTTATAAAAAATATAATTAAAATACTTTCACTTTGGAGCGCACTCAATACTTCATTGGGAGAAATGCATGTAATACATGGTAGCATGTTAGCAACTACACTAAGACATTGATTTTCACTGAAACCCTAAATCAGAATTTAAGAATAAAACCAGTTTTTTTTACTTGTAATTCTAAAACGAATTATGCTTTAGAATTATTTTTTTTTAAAAGAAACTTGTTACCTTTGAAAAAAATGTTTACAAATGGTATCAAAATATAACTTACAATAAGCATTTATTTCAAATAAAAGTATACAATAAGTATTACTTTAAAATTTTAACTAGTTTTACAGATAAAGTTTTTTTTTATAACACCATTATACCCATTATCACCAGTATACCCATTGATCTACTCCTAAACTTATAATTAATTGCTAACCATTACTTACATTATTAATTTGTTTATCAGAATCATTATTGGTTATTTCAATGATACATGTATCATTGTTATTCATCTTCCACACTTTTCCTGTACTCATTTTCAATGTTCCGAGAACAACTAAGTTAAATAGAAATGAATCCAGTCCTTCTCTAACCTAAAAATGTAAATATATATATATATATATATATATATATATATATATATATATATATATATATATATATATATATATATATATATATATATACATATATATATATATATATATATATATATATATATATATATATATATATATATATATATATATATATATATATATATATATATATATATATACCAGGCTTTCACAGGAAGACGTGCGATTTCATGTCTTTATATGACCACGCAAAAAAAAAATGTTTTAACGATTTGACCACGGCATTTGTTTTTAATTTAAAAACGCGCTACAAAAACTTACCTAAACTTATCTGAAAAAAAATTTAAAAAAATAATAAATATTAACGAAAGAGAAAGTAAAAATAAATACTTAGTTGAAGCAAAAACACAATAAAATAAATACATATATATAACGCAACTAAAACAAAACTCATCAAACTAAAATGCTTAGTCTATTTAATTTACACATTAAAAAACCTTTTCATCTTTGTTTCAATATTTTTATATATTTTTTATTTATTTAGTATGTTCAAAAGTTAAATATTTCTCATAAAAAATACATAGTTATATAAATAAAATAAAAAAATATTTTATTAATACTTTTTTTTTAAATTAATTAGAAGCGTTTTTTTTTTACTTTATCAAAAGCGTTTCGATAATATAAAAGCATTTAAGATCAAACTTATTAAATAGTAACGGTTTTATAAAACTTTTTTTTTCAACAAAACTTTGTTTATCTTTTTAAATGCATTAACTTTAATCATTCTTATATTTAAATTCGTTAAAGAGACTAGCCGTAGAATGTCATCGTTTATAAAAACAAAACAATATTTTATTTATAAAAACGTAGCCGTAGAATGTCATCGTTTATAAAAACAAAACAATTTTTTATTTTTTTACAAGATTTATTTTAGAAATGAACACTTAAACAATTTATATGTTTTAATTTAAAAAAATATATACAACTGTCAATTATATTTAAAAAACAAAACTTTTTTTCAGTAAATTGTTACTTTATTAAAAATCGTTTCGCTAATATAAAAACATTTGTTAAGAAGTTTTGATGTAATTAATTTCACTTTTTTAGAATATTTTTTATTTAGCGCATTTCTAAAACGTTTTTTGAATTAGCCACGGTCAAACCATCATAGCAAAATGTAACTTGCGTGGTCATATAAACACTTGAAATCGCACATCTTCCTGTGAAAGCCTGTATACATACGTTTTTTAACAATTGGTTACACTTTTAAATGTTTTAAAAAAAATAATGTAATCGATTTTATGAAGTCAGATCCAGTTGCATTGCTTGCAGTTGTATTTTTTAACGCTTTTATTATTTCTTGATTTGAAAAATATATATGGCTAATGATTGCCGCCAAACTCTGACTACCAACCAAAAATGCTATTTTTTTATTTTAATATTCATTATATATATATATATATATATATATATATATATATATATATATATATATATATATATATATATATATATATATATATATATATATATATAAATATATATATATATATATATATATATATATATATATATATATATATATATATATATATATATATATGTATATATATATATATATATATATATATATATATATATATATATATATATAAACATTTAAAAGGGTAACAAATTGAGACATAATGTAACGTAAAAAAAGACAATTAAAAGATATCTCAAATAGATATTTTTTTTTAAGTTATGTTGCGTCTCAATTGATTACACTTTTATATTTTTTAAAAAAATGTAATGTGACGTAAAATGAATTCTATATTTATGACGTATTTTATTTATGTCTCAAATTTGAGACATCATTTCACAGTGTTACATCTTAATTAGCTTTTTTTAAACTTTTAAAACTGTTATCAATTGAGATGTAATAAAACAAAAAAAAAAAGATGCAAATAAAATACGTTTTGAATGCAGAATTATTTTACGTTAGTTTTGATCTAAATTGTTTGTATTTTTGTTACATCTCAATCGGTTACTCTGAAGCCCTTAATACAAGTGGTTAGGAATAAGAGAAGGGTGTGTGGGAAATTTATTCCAGAATAATTAACAAGGCAGGGGGTTAATAAAAGGGGTAGGGGTAACTTATGAAACTAATATTTTTGCATAACATGCATAAAATTTTATGCATATTTAATAAATTATGATAAAATACTTGTTAGAAAATGTGCATTTAAGCACAAGTGATGCTAGAATAAACTATTTTATTCTAGCATAGCTTTAGGTCGAATGCGCATTTTAAAAATGGGCACATGACGTCCTTCGACATTCATAGGACGTACTGTTTAGGTCCATTTGTCCATGTCCAAAGTAGTACATACTTGGACATCTATTGGACGTCGGCATCCAAAGAAGGTTTGTTCTCTTCTCCATGTGTTGCTTTTACCCATCTGTGAATATAAAATATTTTCAAAATGGTTAAAAAATCATAGTTTGAAAGTTGTCAATTTTTTAACTTATTCGATAACATAACTATTTAGTTACAGTTTTCAAATCATATATTATGGTTTAACCATAGTCATAGTATTTAACCAGGCTTGGTCGGGAAGCGGGAGCGATCGCTCTCGAATACTGACCACGGAAATTATATTTAGTTGCGAAAAACTGGCCAGGTTTTTTAGTCGTTTTGAGAACATTTAAGTTTATGTACGAAACAAAAAGTTTTTTATTTTACGGACATACATGGAAACATAATAAACTTGAATGTTCTCAAAACATCTTTGTGCGAAAGAATAAAAAGAATATTTGCGAATACTAAAAACCCGCCAAATAAACGAACAAACTAATTCTATTGGTTCAAAAAATACGCGGGTTAAGCAAAATAAAGTTCTAGAGTATTCTGTTAAAATGTTTTAGAAATTGTATTATTCACGATTTGTTACGTTTTGAGATTTCTAGCATTGTTTTAAGAATATATATTATTTGTTTACGAAAATAAATGTTTTAAATTAATATTAATTAAATTGTTAAATTTTAAAAGTTTATTATAAATCATAGATTTTATTAGTATATTTTTATTTTAAAAGAGATTGTATTCTTTATGTAAATGTAATTTTGTGTATTTATTTTTCATCGTAATGTATCTTGTAAAGCAATTTTTATGATTTAAACAAAGACTTAAAAAAATAACTGCGTTTTCAATGAATTTATAATCGTTAAAGTTAATAAAACTAATTATGTAACAAACATATAAGAAGTTTCTGGTTACTAAACACAAACAACGCATACAAAGTAACTCGCGGATGAACAAGCATCGCGTTTGAGGTCACGACAGAACACAAATATATATAGAAAATAATTAGATATAAAGAAATGTTTTTAGATATTGGTTTACTAACTCTAATTAATTTCGCTTAAGTTGCCATTCTTTAAACTCGTTATACTTTTTTCTGCTTTAAATACTAATTAAAATTAAAAAGCCCACTCACTAAACATCAACAGCGATATTGTGAAGCAGTTTCGCTTCCTGGTCATTAAGTATTTTTAACCTTTTTAGTTGATTTCTATCTTGATAATTTAATTCCTATAGTAATTCAATGATTTAATTATTTCATTTGTTTATCTTACTAAGAAGAATTGCTTCAAATATGTTAAACTTTTCAAACTACGCGAAACATAAAATAGGTATTTAAAAAATTAACTTTTTTATTTATAAAATAATTTAGCTTAAGTAAAACTAAAACTTGCAAACTTAGTTAAACAAAGAATATTTGTTTCCATTTTAAACAATCGTAAGTTGTTACTTTATATAAATAACATCGCTTAATTTATAAAAAAAGTTATAAAAGAGCGATGTTTCGAAATATCTGTTCTAAATGTAATTTATTTAGCTTTAAGTTTTTTCGCGTTTAAAGATATTTATTTGTCTATCTTTTTTTTTTTTTTTTGTAATTGTCTCTCATCGGTCCAATTAATCTTCTCAAAACGACTAAAAAATCTGGCCAGCTTTTCGCAACTATATATTATTTACGTGGTCAGCAATCGAGAGCGATTGCTCCCGCTTCCCGACCAAGCCTGTTTAACTAGTCTGGAAACACGGGCCGTTTTCTATAGATTTCGTAAAATAACTTGAGCTTTAAGGGGTGACCGGACTGAGAGTGCATCAAATGTTTTTAAAATTACTTTTTGTAGCGCAGACTTTGAAAATTTGAATGAATTCGATGCTGTTTTAGCTGCTATTGAGTTGTTATTTGTTGGAGGCAGATCTCAATTTTAGTTCAAATAGACTATCTATTTTAATTTATCCTAACCAAAGTGAAGAAAGAATATTTATGTGTTTGTTTTGCAAGAAACGATGTATATCACACGGTGACTCGTCACCTCAACGCCAAGCACAAGGACAAGATTATTGATAAACATTTAGTAAAAAATAAAAGAAAGCAAAGATTATTCTTCAACCTATAAGATTTTATAATTATTTAATCAAGATTGCAGTAAAGCTTGCTTCAGATAAATGGTACTTTGCTACAAGCTGACATTAAAAGTTTAAAATCAAGTATTATATTTCAATTATTTCAAGAAGAAGTCATTACAGCTTAGTTCCTATTAAAATGTAACTGCTTCATTTGTTTTAAATGATGAAATTTTTTACGCTGATTAAAACATGAAAGAACATGAAGTAGCATTCAAAACATGAAAGAAATTATTTTTTTCAGAAAATATTTTGTAGAATCGATTCTACAAAACTTTTTCTGAAAAAACAATTTCTTTTATGCTTTGAAGTAGCAAATCTTGTCTTTGTTTATTTGACTGACACCTTTTTTATCAATGATATTATAACATTTAAGCATGTATTCCTCTACATTACTAAACAAAACATTCTATTATGACTTAGTGGGAATGTTTTTGGTGCCTCTAATTTTACAATTGGTTTTAATTCTAACATGTCTAAGTTGTATAATGAGCAGTGCTTATCGTATTTGCTTGCAGCTAAGTATGCATGATCATCTAACATTTTACATACA